TCATTACCCTTTATATGTGATATTTGAGATTTATATGTGACATTTGCACCTTATCTGTGATCATTACCCTTTATATGTGATATTTGAGATTTATATGTGACATTTGCACCTTATCTGTGATCATTACCCTTTATATGTGATATTTGAGATTTATATGTGACATTTGCACCTTATCTGTGATCATTACCCTTTATATGTGATATTTGAGATTTATATGTGACATTTGCACCTTATCTGTGATCATTACCCTTTATATGTGATATTTGAGATTTATATGTGACATTTGCACCTTATCTGTGATCATTACCCTTTATATGTGATATTTGAGATTTATATGTGACATTTGCACCTTATCTGTGATCATTACCCTTTATATGTGATATTTGAGATTTATATGTGACATTTGCACCTTATCTGTGATCATTACCCTTTATATGTGATATTTGAGATTTATATGTGACATTTGCACCTTATCTGTGATCATTACCCTTTATATGTGATATTTGAGATTTATATGTGACATTTGCACCTTATCTGTGATCATTACCCTTTATATGTGATATTTGAGATTTATATGTGACATTTGCACCTTATCTGTGATCATTACCCTTTATATGTGATATTTGAGATTTATATGTGACATTTGCACCTTATCTGTGATCATTACCCTTTATATGTGATATTTGAGATTTATATGTGACATTTGCACCTTATCTGTGATCATTACCCTTTATATGTGATATTTGAGATTTATATGTGACATTTGCACCTTATCTGTGATCATTACCCTTTATATGTGATATTTGAGATTTATATGTGACATTTGCACCTTATCTGTGATCATTACCCTTTATATGTGATATTTGAGATTTATATGTGACATTTGCACCTTATCTGTGATCATTACCCTTTATATGTGATATTTGAGATTTATATGTGACATTTGCACCTTATCTGTGATCATTACCCTTTATATGTGATATTTGAGATTTATATGTGACATTTGCACCTTATCTGTGATCATTACCCTTTATATGTGATATTTGAGATTTATATGTGACATTTGCACCTTATCTGTGATCATTACCCTTTATATGTGATATTTGAGATTTATATGTGACATTTGCACCTTATCTGTGATCATTACCCTTTATATGTGATATTTGAGATTTATATGTGACATTTGCACCTTATCTGTGATCATTACCCTTTATATGTGATATTTGAGATTTATATGTGACATTTGCACCTTATCTGTGATCATTACCCTTTATATGTGATATTTGAGATTTATATGTGACATTTGCACCTTATCTGTGATCATTACCCTTTATATGTGATATTTGAGATTTATATGTGACATTTGCACCTTATCTGTGATCATTACCCTTTATATGTGATATTTGAGATTTATATGTGACATTTGCACCTTATCTGTGATCATTACCCTTTATATGTGATATTTGAGATTTATATGTGACATTTGCACCTTATCTGTGATCATTACCCTTTATATGTGATATTTGAGATTTATATGTGACATTTGCACCTTATCTGTGATCATTACCCTTTATATGTGATATTTGAGATTTATATGTGACATTTGCACCTTATCTGTGATCATTACCCTTTATATGTGATATTTGAGATTTATATGTGACATTTGCACCTTATCTGTGATCATTACCCTTTATATGTGATATTTGAGATTTATATGTGACATTTGCACCTTATCTGTGATCATTACCCTTTATATGTGATATTTGAGATTTATATGTGACATTTGCACCTTATCTGTGATCATTACCCTTTATATGTGATATTTGAGATTTATATGTGACATTTGCACCTTATCTGTGATCATTACCCTTTATATGTGATATTTGAGATTTATATGTGACATTTGCACCTTATCTGTGATCATTACCCTTTATATGTGATATTTGAGATTTATATGTGACATTTGCACCTTATCTGTGATCATTACCCTTTATATGTGATATTTGAGATTTATATGTGACATTTGCACCTTATCTGTGATCATTACCCTTTATATGTGATATTTGAGATTTATATGTGACATTTGCACCTTATCTGTGATCATTACCCTTTATATGTGATATTTGAGATTTATATGTGACATTTGCACCTTATCTGTGATCATTACCCTTTATATGTGATATTTGAGATTTATATGTGACATTTGCACCTTATCTGTGATCATTACCCTTTATATGTGATATTTGAGATTTATATGTGACATTTGCACCTTATCTGTGATCATTACCCTTTATATGTGATATTTGAGATTTATATGTGACATTTGCACCTTATCTGTGATCATTACCCTTTATATGTGATATTTGAGATTTATATGTGACATTTGCACCTTATCTGTGATCATTACCCTTTATATGTGATATTTGAGATTTATATGTGACATTTGCACCTTATCTGTGATCATTACCCTTTATATGTGATATTTGAGATTTATATGTGACATTTGCACCTTATCTGTGATCATTACCCTTTATATGTGATATTTGAGATTTATATGTGACATTTGCACCTTATCTGTGATCATTACCCTTTATATGTGATATTTGAGATTTATATGTGACATTTGCACCTTATCTGTGATCATTACCCTTTATATGTGATATTTGAGATTTATATGTGACATTTGCACCTTATCTGTGATCATTACCCTTTATATGTGATATTTGAGATTTATATGTGACATTTGCACCTTATCTGTGATCATTACCCTTTATATGTGATATTTGAGATTTATATGTGACATTTGCACCTTATCTGTGATCATTACCCTTTATATGTGATATTTGAGATTTATATGTGACATTTGCACCTTATCTGTGATCATTACCCTTTATATGTGATATTTGAGATTTATATGTGACATTTGCACCTTATCTGTGATCATTACCCTTTATATGTGATATTTGAGATTTATATGTGACATTTGCACCTTATCTGTGATCATTACCCTTTATATGTGATATTTGAGATTTATATGTGACATTTGCACCTTATCTGTGATCATTACCCTTTATATGTGATATTTGAGATTTATATGTGACATTTGCACCTTATCTGTGATCATTACCCTTTATATGTGATATTTGAGATTTATATGTGACATTTGCACCTTATCTGTGATCATTACCCTTTATATGTGATATTTGAGATTTATATGTGACATTTGCACCTTATCTGTGATCATTACCCTTTATATGTGATATTTGAGATTTATATGTGACATTTGCACCTTATCTGTGATCATTACCCTTTATATGTGATATTTGAGATTTATATGTGACATTTGCACCTTATCTGTGATCATTACCCTTTATATGTGATATTTGAGATTTATATGTGACATTTGCACCTTATCTGTGATCATTACCCTTTATATGTGATATTTGAGATTTATATGTGACATTTGCACCTTATCTGTGATCATTACCCTTTATATGTGATATTTGAGATTTATATGTGACATTTGCACCTTATCTGTGATCATTACCCTTTATATGTGATATTTGAGATTTATATGTGACATTTGCACCTTATCTGTGATCATTACCCTTTATATGTGATATTTGAGATTTATATGTGACATTTGCACCTTATCTGTGATCATTACCCTTTATATGTGATATTTGAGATTTATATGTGACATTTGCACCTTATCTGTGATCATTACCCTTTATATGTGATATTTGAGATTTATATGTGACATTTGCACCTTATCTGTGATCATTACCCTTTATATGTGATATTTGAGATTTATATGTGACATTTGCACCTTATCTGTGATCATTACCCTTTATATGTGATATTTGAGATTTATATGTGACATTTGCACCTTATCTGTGATCATTACCCTTTATATGTGATATTTGAGATTTATATGTGACATTTGCACCTTATCTGTGATCATTACCCTTTATATGTGATATTTGAGATTTATATGTGACATTTGCACCTTATCTGTGATCATTACCCTTTATATGTGATATTTGAGATTTATATGTGACATTTGCACCTTATCTGTGATCATTTCATCTCTTTCAGTAACAGTCATGGTCAACGTATTTAACCCCATTGAACGATGATAACCTATCATATTGAGAATATCTTCATCTTTTGAAAGCTCAAACGAGACATTGGGAAACTTATCGATAGAGTAACTTATCAACAAACTTTCGAACCGTACTCTAAAATTCTCTGCGGCTTTCATCTTCAATTCGGCTAAACTTGTTGCTGAATTGACTTTAATAAGGGTTGCGTTACTGTTAAATGAAATCACACACATTAAAGAATCTTCCATTTTGGTTGTTGAAGAAGTTAAGAGGAAAAAGTTCAGAATATAAATGATTGTTGAAGGTTGTTGAAGATTTTAGCAGTAGATCAAAAGAGAGAAGAGTATATATGAGGAATGCAATATTTTGGAGGGAACCGTGTACATTTTCCCCTCCAATTCTACCTCTAACCCCCCAGCTCACTGATTTGACACCGCTACTTCATGATGGGTTGCTTGGCTGGCGAATAAGACAAAACCCAAGTTCTTCAATGCATAGCCGATTTCAGCGCCCACCCCCAAATCGAAAATGAGAGAAGAAAGGGCAAAATGGGTACTGCTGAAAAAATACACTATAAAGTAGAGAAACACTGTTGGGTTTGGGGTGAGAAAGCATGAGTACTTGGGTCAAGGTGCCCCCAAGTGTTTGACTCTAGTTGGGGGGTGGGGATGCATAGCCGAATTTTATTTGGTTCCCCCAAGCAATTTTCCCTATATTTATTTATTTATTTAGAGAGATTAACTGAAAAAATAAAAATATTTAGAGGGTTCTCTGAAACGCCCCGAAACTCAAGGGAATAAGCAAAACACTTTTATTATTGGATTCATCTCTTGACCGGCCGAACTTTGGAATTACGAAATTTACACCAAAAAGAAATAGGGAAATCACGTGAAGGACCCCCCTGTCACGTGACTCATCCCTATAGCGCCCCCGAATCTCTCCTCTCCCGACGCTCTCGCTCCCCAACCATGGCCACCCTCAGCACCCTCCAAACCCGCTCCCCAGCCCCGCACAAAATGACCAAACTACCCCCCAAGATCCTCGCCTCCACCAGCACCACCCGCCTACCCCCTCAAGCAAGGGCAATCCCGTCTTTTCCACCGCCTCCCCTCCGGCCTCCAAATGGAAGTCATCAGCCAAAAGCCTCTAAAAGAACTGGATTCGGGCCCGAATCCGGGCCCGAATCCGCCTCTGGTTTTTGTGCATGGGAGCTTTCACGCGGCGTGGTGCTGGGCCGAGCACTGGATGCCCTTCTTCTCGGGTTATGGGTACGATTGCTACGCTGTCAGTCTCTTGGGTCAGGTATGTTCGCGATTTAGCCCCCTTTCTCTTTTTGAAATTGCAATTTTGGTCTGTTTATTTTGCACAGAAGTACATATGAGCAGTCTTTCGCGACCCTGAAATTTACCTGTAAATTGCAATTTTGGTCTGTTCGTTCTGCACAGTAGCCCGTATGAAAATGCTTTTTTAAGTGAAAAGGGTGTTGAACGTATGAACATAGGTCGTCGTCAATGAGGCCGGTTGTAGTGAACTTTTGCCAATATTTTTGGAGTTATGATGTGAGAGGCACCCCTAGTTTCAGGTCGAAAACGTTAGAGCTTGATCTTTGTAATTGATGGCATTTTCCCGGAAAGAAGCAATTTGCGATTAGGACAAAGCGAGAAGTAAATTGATGTGTAACAAACTCCAGAGGTTGGTTGGATTGATTGTTTGAATATATTTGTAGGTGAGAAAGACAACACAACCAACCATCGTCACACATACTTGTGAAGTCACAAAATAAAAGAAGACGCTAGAGACAATGGTCTGTTGTTGCCCTTCGGAAGCTTAAATCAGTTTCTGAAGATGAGAGTCCTAAGGTTTAATTGTACATGCCTTTGTTTGAATGAATGGTCGAATTTTTTACCTTGAAATTATTGTGGGGTGTTGTTGAATCATTTAGTCGTACTGATTGAAGACTGGATATTGTACCTCTAGCTTGTATCGGAATGGTCATGTTTCGTCATTCTGAATATGTCATGTTACAATATGGGCATGGATCCTTTATTATCCATTTTGATAGAACTAACTTCCATTTTATGTGCTCACTCGTGTAAAGCGTTGCCCACATGCTATTAGTGTGAAACTTTTTTGGTGTCCAACACATCCCTCCTTTATATGTAATGAGAAATTGGTAGTACCCTTACAACATAAAATGCTGACATGTGTCACCTAAAATGCGCAAAAAGACGTGTTATATCAAAAAATAGTCACGTGTACCTCTTTCTTATTAGAAGATGACGTTAACTGGACACCTAATCTTGTCTTCACTTAAATAAATATCATTATCAAAATTAAAATTATCCATAATTAGAAAATTTTAATAATCAAATATTTAGTAATCCTAATCAAATTATAATTATCCATAATTATAAAATCTCATAATCATATATAGTTATAGAAATTAAAGGAAAAAACTCTTGTAGTTAGCCTCTCTACATAAAATCTTATATGTAAAATTATAAACACGTCAAATTTTATCTAAAGTTGATGAATTAGTTTTCCTTTTACAAAAGTTGATGGATTAGTCATTTTTTTCTATTTATAATTCAATATTCTGTCTTTACTGATTTTTAATTTCATTAAGAGGGTTAGTAGTTTATGTGTGCCCCTCTTTAAACTAAACTATTAATGGAACATAAGATCCCATCTTTGAGAAAATCTCTAGCATGTAAATATTTTTAATTTTTTCCCTCTATGAAAATTAAGAACTTTTTTATTAAAAAATAATTCTCTAAGATCAACAAATTAGTTACACAAATTACCCAAAATATTATCTTGAATTCCCCTATCTAATCTAATATTCTCTAATAATTAGTTTGGAATTATAATGGATTTTTAGGATTATTCTAAAAATAAATATTTGAATTCTTAAAATTATTTTATGGACGAAGATATATTTTCAGTATTGTGATCACACGAAGAGCATCAAAATTTATTACATCTTGTTTTATTTTTAAAATATTATAGAAAAATGAGGGATATTATAAAGGAGGGATTGATGGTTAATCTATCTAATTTTGAGTTTGAAAATTTTAAATAAAACTACCCACGTGTTTATTCCACAAGCTATTTCTTATTTTCATTTTTATTTGAGAATATTAAAAATAAAGAGGGATATTGTAAAGGAGGTATTTGCAGTTAAGCTTATCTAATTTTGAATTTTAAATTTTGAAATAAAAGCCATGGACACCCTTATTTTGAAATTCTTTTAAATATCTAGCTATCTAAGAACAAAAAACTCTCCGGCTCAGGTTATCTAGTTTTGAATTTGAAATTTAAGCAAGTTACTTTTCATTTCATGTATTATGTTCAGAATATTATAAGATAATTCAAAGGTAATATCATGTTCATTTCAATAAGTCATAAACTTTAAGTCATTGGTATAAGCTATTTGTATGCTCATATTCATAAAAAATAGAGAGAGAGAATGTGTGTGTGTGTATATATATATATATAAGAAGTTGAAACCCAAAGAAAAATATTTCAGCGAGATGCAATTTAGAAGCACGTGTGTATGACCAATGAAGTAACCAATAGAAACCAAACAAATTAGATAATAAAAAAGTAATAAAATAAAATAATAATAGACCTCTAACCTTCCAAGCTAATGATGTGGGTTCAATTCTTGCTACCTGCTCCATATTCATTTTTCGACATGTAACACACCCTTGCAAGCATGGGCAAAACACTTTTAAGGAGTGTCTAAGAAGTAGTGTTGCACAGTATGTGCCACAATATCCCGTATGGGTATGGATTCATGGTAAAAATTGTTCATGCTACACAGATCTGCATGCTGATAGATAGATGTATTCCAAGCTAATGATGTGGGTTCAATTCTTGCTACCTGCTCCATATTCTTTTTTCGACATGTAAGATACACCCTTGCAAGAATGGGCAAAACACTTTTAAGGAGTGTCTAAGAAGTAATGTTGCACAGTATGTGTCACAATATCCCGTATGGGTATGGATTCATGGTAAAAATTGTTCATGCTACACAGATGACAGATCTACATGAAGATAGATAGATGTATACATAGTCAAGACAGGGTTTCTAGATCAGATTCGTTAACCAAGGATAAGGTTGTTCTACACTCTTCTTTGCATATGAAATATTATTATTCAATTTCATTTTGAAATCTATATTGATTATGAACAGATCTAGATCCTACATTTGATCCATGTTTTGTATCAGAACAATGATCAGAAGAGTCGCTTACATATATAAATAGGGTATTTTCCATTGCCATGGGTGGTCTTCTTTACAGAAAAATGAACTTATGTGAATTATTTTTCATGTTATATCACCATTGCAGGCATCATGGATCCTCTTATAAACTTCACAGCCTACTCGCGTTTATCCTTTCTTGATGTTTAGATGTATGATAATAAACTTGGAAAAACTGCAGACAGTAGACTGAGTAATCCTTAGCATGGCTCTGACAAGGTGGCAGAGCTGTCAATCACATGCTTCACTTGCAATTCTGAAGCAATATAATTATTGTCCATCCGTTTTTATTTTATTCATGTTTATTTTCTTATTCAAAATGTAAATACAATATGTTTCTCAAGAAAACCCTCGCATTTTGGATGCATGAAAAATCAAGTTCATCACAGGACTTACTCATCTATGTCACTGAATCATATGTCTGAGCTGTGAGTAGATAATTTCGGTTAAATTGTTTGGATCGGTTTATTTATTTCTGGTATGAGGTCCACCTTAGTTAATTTTTTGAGATTAATTTACTATATTGGATTCTAGGACAGTTTTTGTAGTAGCCCCTCCTAGTTTTCCACAAACAATTCATTGATGACTTAAACATCTTACACTAGCTGGGGGTGGAACTAACTAAAAGCTCGTTCTTCTAACTACTTAAAAAAAATTAGTTGACTACTTGAGGCTTGAGAGAAATGTGGCATTGCATGATTGCATGTAATCATGACTGAACAATATGTCCGGACTAAATGCCACATGCATCTCTTAGCTTTAATGCACTTCATGTGATGGATTTAAGATGAACACTTACTGTGCAAAGCATAAATCAGCTTATCTTTCAATAATTGCTTGGTCCAGAGCTATTCTTTGTGACTTCATATTACCTTTGTTGTTGACAATGCTGCCAGTTTGTGCTTCCATTTTAATTAGGAAATAAATTTTGGTGTGAGGTTCATTACTTACACTCTTACAGTATGCGAGGTATATAAGCGTAACAGGAAGGGTGCGGGGTATAAAAATGTAACAGGAAGGAAAAGACTAAAGAATACCTATTTTTGTTTAAAAAAATGGTATAGCTAGTTTTTCGTTTCTGATCCATAGCTTTTCTTTATGGTCAGGGTGAAAGCGATTCACCTTCAGGGTCAGCAGCTGGTACTCTCCAGGTAGCTGGTCTCATTTCCCTATATTGATATATAAGGCTTGAGCATTAATTTCTTGTGTGAATATTGGTATAGTAAGCAATCTCACTAGAACATATGAAAATGTTTGCAGTAGATGCATGCAAGTGATATAGCTGATTTCATCCGGAAAGAAGTTAACTTGCCACCTGTTCTAATTGGACATTCATTTGGAGGACTTATTGTTCAGTCTTACCTTTCAAATAGATATTCCTCCCATAGGTCATCTTCTTCTGGTTAGTACGCAATTTAAAGTAATCTGCATTTCATGTTTTTTTTTAAATTTAAATTTCAAGTCATGTTTTCCAACTTTGGCTTTTGACCAAATGGCAAAATAAACTTCCTATCTAACAGGACAGCTTTAACATATTAATCTTTTTCTTTTTCTTTCCTTCTAGAATTGCTGTAAACATAATTGATACCTCTATTTCTTGATTGCAGTGAGTGATAATTTGCATCCACTGCTTGCAGGAGCTGTTTTAGTGTGTTCTGTCCCTCCTTCAGGAAACAGGTAAATCCTTCAGGATGTTTTATATGAAAGGATTTTGTCTACTTTTTATCAAATGGACCCCCTGCTTATGATATATTATTCTATTGCTTCAGCGGGCTTGTATGGAGGTATCTTTTGACAAAGCCTGTTGTAGCCATCAAGGTATCTAATATTTCTTTCAAGAAATATCAGGCACATTATTATTTAACTATTTGTTTTCTGCTTGTCTTGTGCATGTTAAAAAGGACAATGCGAAGCCCATCATATTTAGCTTTGATTAAGGCTTCTTGGTAAATAGAGTCAATGCAAGTGATACTAAATTGACTTACGAGAGGTGGGAGTATGTGCTACTTCTTGATTTGTTTAGTGGGCATTTTGTTATGGTCATTCGATGAATGGATGATTGTTTGGATTTTCAGTAGGAATTAGGTAGTGGTTGGGAAATTATATTGGTCTGGTTTGAGTTTTGTGGAATGCTATCATTTTAGGTAGATATCATTCTTATGCCTAAATTTAGTTTTATCCTGCAGTTATCTTTTGTATGTTGGCTCATACTTGATGTGCCGAAACCTGATAGGGTGTAGCGTGAATAATTTTTTGGAAAGAAACTCATGAATATTTTCTCTAATGAACAAAACAAATGGGAGAGCAAACAAATGGCACTTCTGTTGATACCTTCTTAGACAAATATAAGCTTATCCTGCTTGATCGTCGGTGTAACTAGTCTCCATATATTCTGATGCCATTTTTCAAAGCAACAAACATCATTGACAGCCTGACATATCACATGCAATGCGAGAACTATGCAATTTATTTTCCTATGTATTGCTTGTAACCAATTTTCAGTATTTTCTTTTGAATTTTAAGAGTGATTTTATGAATGCTGAAGATCCAACGATGCTATTCTATCCAGCAACTGCATCTGCTTATAAGTGCCTCTTATTCTTTTCTGTTGGAGGAATCGAAGGTGGGTGTATAACTGAGCATTAAGTAAAAGGGAGAATGCCTAATTGAAATTTTCCATGTCCAATGATTCAAAATCCATCCTGTACTTTTCTGTACTTTCAAGTTTTAGTTTCGAAACCCTAAAAGGTTATCCTGTAAACTTTTTATGATTGCTTGAATCAAAATGTGAACCATGCCTTATAAATTTTAGAAGCTAGAAGCTTGTTATAATGAGATGTGGATTAGGATAATACTTATGGACTTCAATTGCTACTTTTATATATGCTTGTACTCGCTGATGCTGGAGTGCCGAGTTGTTGGTTGTGTACTTCGATACACTTATGTAAAATAATGTTCTGCAAGCTGTCTTTAAATAATTGACCACTTGATTGCTACCTTGCTCAAGTGGCTATTTATCTCGATGCTAACTCTCATGGATACTTTATGGCTGGTGCAGTCCCTAATTCTAACTACATTGACTAGCTAGTGATCCAAATAATTGTGTGCTTGAAAGCAGAAAACAAACTGTAGCTGTGTCCAATTTCTGATGTAAAAGTTTTAGGAGTATATCTTATGTTTTTATTAGAATTTACTTTATTTTCTTCTCAGGTTACGCTCAGCTTGGCTGCAAAAGCCTTTGCAAATTCCTTGTCTCTCTGCAAGGAAACATTCTTCTCTTCAAAAATGGATGATCGCCTAGTCCAAAGGTATGCCATAAATATCCAATTGACGTTCTCTTTAGTTTAACTTTTGTACGTAAATATCCTTGGAATCTGATACTGCAATTTGTGGATATAACACCTGGGATTAGTTAAATGCCTCGTTGGCATAGACATAAAGCTACCTTTGGCTTTCCTTATTTTTCTTCTCCTAATAAATTTAGACTACATATTATGAATCTAAAAATTCGGGTTGGGTAAAATTTTGACTAAAATGTAGCTAGTCGTCTTCCGAGACAAAGTGTTTTCTGTTATATGTAAAGGTCTTATGGACTTTGAACACTTAGCAGCCTTTATGTGACCCTCAAGGAGCATAATATTTGCCATATTAAAAACTATTAATGTTTGTTATTGAGTTCAACTGAGCTATTAGTATGTTTCCTATGTGATCATCTAAACCTTCTTATCAACATGAGCTACTAATCCACTTTCGAAGACTATGAAAAACTTGATGGTGTTCTAGAATTGGTTGTCAACGTGATGTTAACCTTGCGACTTGTGAAATTTTCGCCAAATAATTGTGTACATAGGTATACTTACCATGAAATCTGATAGGCAGTTGAGAGGTAGGAAAACTGACCTTATTGACAATGTAGTTTAAGCTAGTATGGGCAAGATACAACCGTCCAAATCTCTCCAAGACCATGAACAGCTTAGTAAGTATTGGGTAGATGGTGAGGCTTGCATTCTTATATTATTTATGGGAATAATATTTTATAAGCTTGATGTTGAGAAGCATCCTTTTAACAAATGACATGGACCCATGACATGGGTCTTTATGTGGATGTCTTGAAAGTGCCCAACAGGGTCCCCTTCTCAAACATCATATGCTCTAATTTTTTCTAATTTCTAAACGGGCATGCAAATGTTTATGTACTTATGTTATAATTAGTGAACCAGTTAAAGAATTGTTACATGCTTCAAACAATATTTAGATGCTTACTTAAGATGCCCTTGATTTGACATCTGATCGTAAGCATTGTAAACTTAATAGTGTCACTGGATGTTGGGAATTTTTCCTGAGTATCCAAGTACAAGAGTGTTGACACAAAATTTTTAAAGATTGAATAAACGTCAAGACAGACAGGTCAAAAGTTGTGCAACGAATCATTCAAATCACATGTTCAGAGATCCTTTAATTGTTAATCATCTGAACTCACAAATCCTCATGATCTTCTAAAAGATTTAATTGCTGATAATTCCTAGATACATACTGACCTTTCTGTTCCCTACCAGCAATAGGATATAAGGTTCACCAATTGATGGCTTTGCTCAAACTGCTGGCTGAACATCATACATGATACAACCTTGTTATTATATCTTGACTGCCACGATGCTTCATACCTGATGCTTTTTCATTCGTTGTTACCCTTCTGATCATATTACAAATCAAGTGGAGTTTCTGACTCTGCTTTTGTTGCATTTCAGATATCAGGAGCTAATGAGAGAAAGTTCAAAACTGCCACTTTTTGACCTAAAGATGCTTAATGCATCTTTGCCGGTTGCATCAATTCCAAAGAATTCTGTGGAAGTCCTAGTAATTGGTGCAAGTAATGACTTCATTGTGGTGAGTAATTACTTATGAAGATCATCATAAGTCAAGTCTTCTTACAAATTATGGATCTGATTTACTGTTTGGGAGTTGCCATTCTCTTTAATCATGGTATCAAACAAATCATGAGAGCAATTAATATACATTGGTCGACATGTAGGTTGACATGCCGACTGATATGTCAGTGGCAGATTTGCTGTCCATCCATTTCAGTTGCATCCTATGTTTTGCTCTCTTATATTCAGTGTGTTTTACAGATTTGTTAGAGCATCTCCAACAGTTTCCCCAAAAAATTCTCCAAAATGGGGAAGCAAAAGTCATATTCTCCAAATTATTTTTGCTCCAACTCCAACAGCTTCCCCATTTTAAAGAATCCTGCATTTATTATAATAATAAAAATATTCTACATCCCTATTTTGGGATGCTCTTATGCATTGGAACTGCCCCCATGTTTTTTTTGTAATTATAGATTTTATTTTATATTTATTTTCTCCTTCCCGTTTTGAAGAACGTGTAGCATTTATGACAAAGTTTTCCCCAAATATTTGAATAATGCCTCAGATTTGGGGAAGACTCCCCTGTTTTTCTCCTCCATCCCTATTTTGGGGAATGGGATGGGGAATCTGTTGGACCAAAAAAAGTCCAAAATTCTCCAAAAGTGAGAATACCAATAAAATGAGGAAGCTGTTGGAGATGCTCTTACTCTGCCAAAGTTTAAACATACAGTAGGGATATCACAGGGAGACTCAGTAATAACTTGATTGGATTCATTAGATTCTCTTCCACATGCTGGGGTACTAAATGAATATGGTCTATATCATGTTATATATGTTGAAGCATACAGACCACTATGGTACACACTACTATTGTTTAAAACTGCAGTAGACTTGCTGTCCATCCCTTCAAAAGCATCCTATGTTTTTGTTTTAATAGATTTGCCTCCACTCCAGTGTTTAGACATAAGGTTAGGGTACAACATGGCTGTTGAACTCAATGAATTCATATCGAGGGCTTAATTAAAATGAATTTTACAGCACCCCCACCAACAACAAAGTGTACAACATGGCTGTTGAACTCAATGAATTCATATCGAGGGCTTAATTAAAATGAATTTTACAGCACCCCCACCAACAACAAAGTTTTGGGTTTATTGCGGGGAGACCTCCTTTACTATTGCCAAATGGAACTTAATACCCTTATAGTTCTATTGTTTAAGATAAACTCTCTAAAGAGTTCTTTTGTTGCAGATAGACCCCCAGAATAAAAGTCCATTGTTGCAGATAGACCCCCTGAAAAGGGTAAAAGGAAAATTAACCCAGGAGGCCTACGTGCAACAATAGAATAACACGGGTGTTAAGTTCATTTAGCGATAGTATAGGAGGTCAATCTGCATTAACCCCAAAGTTTTTGTCCCAAACTTTGGCGTCGTTTATAAGAGTTGTAATCGTCCACTCAGTTCTGTTGACTTCAGATTTCAAATGGGATACAACACGTTAGTTTATGATCACCCACATTCGTAAACTTTATCATATATTGTTATTTATTGAAATACTCATGGCGTTACTATCTAAACTAGATAATGGAAAATGAGACTCTCATAACTCACAGCTTAATCTAATGCAGTATAATGCTAAAAAAGTGAATGAAGGCATTGTCAGAGGAGACCTCCATTTGAGCAAGTCTCAACATACTCAAAATCATGATATTTTTCTAAATAATGACTGAAAACTTCAGCAACCTAGTGAGTACAGGTCAAGTCGTAAAAGAATTGGTAGTATTTTCATGCCTCAAATGTGTTAATAACCTTATCAGGAACCTCTGGTGATGTAGGACAAAGAAGGTCTTCATGAAACTGCAAAATTTTTCGATGTTCAAGAAGTGTCCATCCAAGGTGTTGCACATGATATTATGCTGGATTCTTCGTGGGAAAAGGGAGCAGAAACAATATTGTCATGGCTTAAGAGTTCAAGTAAACAGCCATTAACTCCCTGACTCCTTAATGTTGATTTTTCTTACATTGTGCGTTGTTAGCTTGATTTTTGTGTTCTCTACGATGGTGGATATGTTTGTTCTAGTACTGAAATTCAAAATTGTACAGCAGTGAGCAACTATTAAAGCTATAGTTTCATAATGAAGCCTCATAACATTTTTTCGCTAATATACCTCGTGACAAAATTAACAGCATCCATGTACCTTATAATACTTGTCTGGTTGGTCTTATAGGCTATTGAGGACTGGTTCTAACTGATTGATCTTTTCAACTATACCCGTTGTATGAATTTTAGTAGGAGTGTATTAACACAGTTTGAAATTAATTCCCACAGAAGTCGATCTTTTCTACTATCATAGTTCTGTTTTCATGTCTTTTTTCTTTTATCTCTAGAGTTTTTCCTTGCCTTTCTTTAGCTTAATAATCTGCCATTGCTTTTATCCTTTTCTTTAAATTTATTCTGCAGAATACTTCTCCAAGATCTATGCCTGAGATATAACTAGAATTGTTTATCTGATTACATATTCTTGTAGTAATTGTTGACCTACCTTATACTAATTGATGTGAAAGTTTACTTGGCAACCACTTATTCTTCGTCTCCTAAAAATTTTCTCAACAAACATTGATAAGGAATTAGTAGTATGCAGTATTTACAGCTTAGCTCCACACAGCGTACGTTTCATCTTCTAACAAATATGCTTTTTGCATATCAGAGGGACCATGCTTTCATTTGAGGCTATAAATGAAATCGATAATTCTTAGAAAAATCGTTGTCAATTTACCATCCAGTTGGGTCATTTCACCTTTAGAGGAGGAAAAGATAAATGCCTAGATGAAGATAACTATATCAAAATTTATAACCTCATATCTAAGTGATTTCATATGAACCTAAACTCTATAAGAGTGAAAAGAAACATAAATATAAGTATTCCATTCAAGTTCATTTATGTTTTAAGGAGATGGTTGCCTAATTTTGATGGATTTAGCCATGGAAGGATGCCTTCAGAAATCCAAAACTTTAAAGACTTCTAACCTCTAAGAGTTAACTGCTCTTGGCTTCTTTCACATTCATCTTGCCATACAAAATGTGACCACAGAAGAGTTACTTTTAGGTCTTGTTAGCTTTGTTGCGCTCCATTTAATTGATCACCATTAAGGCTATGAGCTGGGAGTGATGTGTAACATCTTAAACTGTGTCAGGGGGGGAAAATCCTGTAGAGGTAGGATCATGACTCTGCTCTTGGTCAGAAAATTTACAGGTAATTCAACAAGAAGTTAAAGCTGGATGGTTATAAACCATTAACTTTAAGATTTGTGCTAAGAAACAGGTTTCAGGATCTCCTTCCTCCCAATATAGTGGATATTCGATAGGATTTTTTATGCGTCTGGGATTTTATCTTTCTTTTGTAGTCACAAACACCACGCTGATTGAAGTGGTTGACTATAATTTTCAGCTGCATTACATCAAATTGATCCATGTACAGTATCTTCTCCTTGGGCACCCATTAAGTCAACTTACTTCCATAAGCTACATACAAACATTAAATTCAAGGTTGATGCCAGCTCTAGCTCAACAGTTTTTTTTTTTCATTTTTCTTAAATAAATTTTTTAGTTATTTAGATTGAATCATTTGTCCTGATGAGCATTTTATCTTGTGAAAGAAAGAAAAAAGTATTAAGCAAGAATATTTGAATCTCAAACTGGGTATATTCGCATAATGAGCATTTCTTAGGTCCATATGTTATATATTGTGTGGGATACATCGTAATATTGTTGATGTTCTTGATTTGAGATGATATTATCTTTTCAGTAGAATGCATACTTGTGAGTGAACAATTAGTGCAAGTCCGTTTCAATTGAATTTGAACAGGAAGTTAGATTCAAGTATGCTTTCAGTCACTGCATTATCCATCCGCAAATAGTGAGCAAGAGAGAGATAGGAATGGAGATTTTTGATATCAAGGAGGCGCAAACAAGGGTAAATTTCGAAGAGCAGATGTCTCTGTGAGTGCTCTCCAAAATTGTCAACTCATGGGAAAAATGTCAAAACGAAATCTATGGGGCTTAAATGTAGTGGGAAAACTTCATGTCATAGAGTTTTAATGCCTTACAACTTCCTATAAGAGAGCCAAGATTATATAGACTGATGACAATTGCCCATTCACCCATTCATCTTGAGAATTTGTTTATAATTAGGCCGGAAATTGAACATATACAAAGATTTCAACCTAAATTAATCAAAATCCAATTGCTACAAGAAGTCTTTTCTTTCCCCACTGAATGGGAGAATTTTGCACAAAAAATTTCAAAATTTCACTGATACGCATATTGCCGATACGTATCAATTAATAAAATTTGCAAGTTCTTCTTTCTCTTTAAAGTTTATTATATTAGTACACTACTAAATTCTTCTTCTCAAGCGATCTATTTTTAAATTTGAGTAGACTAGAATTTTGTCAAAGTAGCGTTATTGCCTATGTTTCAGTTATGTGAAACTGCCAGATTTTTTACTTCAAGTGCATGTTTATTGGTTTTTGCTGTAAAAGACAAAGTCCTTCTATTGTAATCGGGCATATTGAATTTTCTTCTGCGCTCATTCAGGTGTAGTTGCTCTTCCACTATACTTCTGCTCTTTTGCTTGCACACTTTTAGCAGTAACCAATACTAATACAGCGTATGTGTGACAAGAAAATTTAATCTGTTGTTAATGACATTATTGTATTATATGTTTATTCAAAATGGGAGAACGTCTCAAATCTGTACAAGTCTACAAGAGTTCAAATAGTGTTTTGTTTTCTTAATCATAATCATCATTTGACACTCTTTTTTTAAAAAAAATCATAATGTCTGCCAACCTAACATCAATCCTTTCTCAGTTGGCTCTAAAATAAAAGTATGAGAACCAACACCAAAATTTAAGCTGCAACAGGAATTGAGGGCTACACTCTTATATATAATCATGTCTTTGTAGATTGAATGTCCTTATCATTAAATGAGACTTGGACTAATTTGTACAATGATATTTTTCTTCTAATATTCATTTTAAATGCGTATCAGATAGGGGTTAAACTAGGTCTCTATACATCTTCAAGTCTCTTCTATTGCACTAACACTCCGATGTTGTGGCGAGAGTCGAGGAATATAATTTTATTTAGCATCACCAAAAGTCTATTAACTTGACAATAATCCTTTATTACTTATTGCAAAGTATTTGCAAAAAGGAAACTATGAACAAGAGAGAGGTTTCCCATAATTCTTATAAGGGGCTGTTTGGTTGTTGTTGGTAAAGTTGTGTATTTATGACACAACTTGGAAAGTTGTTGTCCACCTCATCAATTTCACTTTTATACTTTTCTTTGTTTGTTTTTGATTCTATTGGAATCATAAATTGCAATTTCACTTTTATACTTTTCTTTGTTTGTTTTTGATTCTATTGGAATCATAAATTGCTTGTTTGGTTTTCAAATGTAACTTAATTGTTTGTTTGGAAAATGTAAAAAGTGGACCCTACTCAAATGATCATATTGGTTGGAATTATTTTTTATTATTTTTTCCTGACTTCAATGTCAGCTTTCTCCTAAAATCATGTCTTTTTTTTATGAAATCACTTTACAAGCCACATCAGCATATGAAATCACTTTACACTATTTTCGTAACTACAAACAAACAATTGAAAGTAATGAAAGCTGACATTGTGACCCACTTATTTACATTTTCCATCCTTTTACATGGTAAAAACATAAAACCAAACAGCGCCTAAATGATTATGGAAGAAGGAAATAAATGATAGATTTGTTGGAATGACATTCTAATTCTCATTTGAAAAAACATATATACCTTGAGCAAACTAAAAACTATTCCAATATTTATAGTTCTTAAAATGAAAAGAAATGATAGAGGCACACTCTAAGGCACACCACCAACCACACTCCCTCTCTCTCTAAAGTGCAGGGGGCTCCACATGTGATTTTTTTAAAAAATCACATGTGAGACCCCCTGTACTGTAGAGAGAGAGGGAGTGTGATTGATGGTGTGCCTTAGAGTGTGCCTGTAGCGCCTCTCTAAAATGAAAGCAAAAAGATTACTAGATTGGTATAAAAACTATTCTTTTTCCAATTAGACAAAAATAACGTCATCATCAACACTTCTCCACTATAGCATACCCACCAATCAATGTTCCCATAAATATTTATAAATCGCCCTTTTTCCATACTATTCAGCATGAATCCAAGACTTGTGGATATATTTTTAATAGAAGGACCCCACTTTGATGACCCCACCTTATTATCTAATACTGCCACGTGTCCTCCCTCCCCTTGTCTATGTCATCAAAAAAGAAACTATACGGAAACTCCCTCTTCCTCTTAACTCTTTAAATCCTATCGAATTGTCCTCAACCCACAACTCCCCTCCTCCTCTCTTAACTCCCACCCTTCCCTCTCTATTGTTAATATATCATGGCAGAGTTTGTGGAGTGTCCAAATTCTCTTAAACCCTCTCCTCTCCCCTTCATTGAAATAGACCAGAACTTTGATTCAATGAGCCATTTTGATGAGTTCAATGTGCATGTCGTGGAGAATTCTAACAACTTGGGCTTTATGGGCTTCTCCAATGACAACTTCTTACCGTTCTTGGAGAATTTTTCAGGCCTTTCGCCTGTCGAAAGCCCGAAAAAGCCCTTGAGCCCAGTCCAAGCCGTTTCAGTTGGAGAACAAAGGAAAGGGGAGAAGAAGAGGAAGGCAGAGGCAGTCTCAGAGACTAACTCTTTGCAGTACTCTTCAGTAGTAGCTCCTTCAGAAACCAAGAAGAAAAATGTATGCACATTTTTTCGATATGATCATATTATTACCCTTTTTTTTGGACTTTTTTGTTGATATATCTTTTTGTTAATAGAGAGGGAGGAGAAACTCAAAGGAAGAGGAGAAGCCAAAGGAGGTGGTTCATGTGAGGGCAAGAAGAGGCCAAGCAACTGACAGCCATAGCTTAGCTGAAAGGGTATGATCATGATTTCACAAAATGACAAGGGGCATAGTGTGGATATTTTTCCCTATTATAATCATGCACCTTTTTTTTTTGCATGCAATGTATCTATCTATCTGTCAACTTTGCTAGCTTTTTGTGTATAAAACTTCTTAATTGTTTGAGTTTTTGATGGGATCAGGTGAGAAGAGAGAAGATAAATGAAAGGATGAGATGCTTGCAAGACCTTGTTCCTGGTTGCTATAAGGTAAAAATTAAGCTATTAATTATAAAATTAAACGGTGTTTTTTTTATTAATTTATGTGTATGTTTTTAAACATTTGACTTGCCTTTGGATTCCAGACAATGGGCATGGCGGGAACGCTTGATGAGATAATTAACTATGTGCAGTCCCTTCAGAACCAAGTTGAGGTAAGAAATGAGATATTAATGTAACTGCAAAAATTACAGTTTTTAGATTTATATACCTCCTATTTTTCTTTTTCCAGTTTCTTTCTATGAAACTTACAGCAGCCAGCTCCTTTTACGATTTCAATTCAGACATAGAAGCTACAGCAACAACACAACCAGTGCTTCCAAGGGTGAGTTTCTGTCCTTTTGGTGTACGACTATATCATGGGACCCACTTAGGTGGGGTTTAGGTTTCTTCAAGGGGTGTGCTAATGGGTGTTGTCAGAATTGGGTTTTTTATGTGTTTTTTATAAGGTTTTATATATCATCACTTTTTCATGTGCAATGTTTGATATAGGGGAGTAATAAGTTGACAAAGCTTGACTCCAACCTTAATTTGGTGATACTTGACTATTTATGTGAATTTAAACGGCCAAACTATTTAAGGAAATAGAAGAGTAGAGGTACAATCTATTGGAGTAAAGAGGACAAGGTTCTAGAAGTCTTATCAATTCTTCAATTATATGTCTAGCATCTCATTTAGAAAGAACCTCAAGCAACCTTGAAATTAAGAGGATTTTTTTATAAAATTTGGATCACTTTCATAAATTAATACATTATAATGGACACAATTAGAAAGGACCTTTTAGTTATTAACGAGACCAGGGATATATATTATGGACTTGTAAGGTTGAATGGAAGAAATGACTCATGTAGTTGACCATTAAATTACTAGTATGTTATTGTTATTATTATGTAACTAGTTTGCGGTCCGTGCAAAGCACGACGATAAATTTTTTCATGTGACAGCAATCATGTTTCTTAAATGCTACAGTAAGCTTTTGAATTACCACAGTATCTCGCATTTTGAAAGTGCTACAGTATTCCCGGGTGCTGCAGTAACAGTGCTACTGTTCATAACAGCAATCATAAGTTCATTGAGTTGGCACAATATCTCGCATTTTTTGAAAATGCGACAGTGTTCCAGTTGCTACAGTAATAAAGCTACTGTTTATACTACGGTACTTATTTTACTGTTGAATTTACTGTTGCATGAATAGGAATTATCTGATTCTCCTATTTGTATAAAGGAATAGATTTGTGTTCATTAATATATAATTAGTAAAAATAATGTAGATCCTTTTACTTATTTGTTTGAGAATTAACTTATGCAGGTGAGTGATGCTTATCAAGCTCAAGAGATGGAGAGAGTGATGAGAGGAGGATACGGAGGGTGCCCTAGCTTCCAATCAACAATGCCTTTCTGAGCTTTTGATTGGCCCACCCTCGCGTGTTCACCTTTGGCATTTTCCTCGCCGAAGGCCACATGGACATCCTCCTTTCCCTGCTCCAGTTCCGATTCAAGAACCTATCGCGCGTCCCCCTCATCCCATGCATGTCGCACGTGCGACAGGTGCAGTGTACACATGTGTGGGGCTTAACACAGATAAACAAATAAGAGGCATTATTATTCTTTAGCCCTAGCTTGTAACGTACATGTAAGCCTCGATCTCTTTTGTTTTACAACCTTTAGATCATGATAAACATATCTACTCTCTTTTGATCAGATGAGCAATTGTTGTAGAGCATGTGAAGCTGTAAATATTTTAAGAGTGTCTATAATTTATAAGTCCAGGGAGGTTATCAGCAAAATACCCTAAAGTTAAGGGGGTTCTTTGAAATATTTGTGATGCATGGATGTACCTTTTAATTTAGCTTGACTACATTATTTGCAAGAATACTCCTTTCTAAAATATTAAATTCCTAGATCTAAAGGATTAGTTAATAGTGTTGGAGCATTAGTTGTCGCTCCACCTACTAAATACGTACGTAGGGATTTTGTGAACTTCTTTGGAAGGAAAATTACAGCTTTGAACACATCTAATCAGCTCTTCTTTGAGAGACTTCCTCCTCCTTCAAGAAAGAGTTCTTAGTTATCGGATTGTCATTTTGTAAAATGATATTTTGCACAAAGCCCACTATTATAAATTAATGTATAACAAATGTTTATATACGAGTTGAAGAGTAACGAGTGTTGACAGAGACATAGATGAGAGCGATATTTGTAATTAATCTGAAGGAAGGTATATACTTAGTTAGAATACAATACCTGAACTGCTTCTATAATTATAGAAACAGATTAAAAATGTAAGTTAATTAATTTGAATGAAAGGGCATATCACGATATATTCAATGGAAAGGATTGCTTCATCGGTTCTAATTAAAGAATGATTATCGCTAGATCTATGAAGTGATGATATATGTGGATGGAAGAGCTAAGCGGCCATAAAAGCAATGCTCTATGCGCCTAAGAGGAAGAATGAGCCTCTGATCTCGCAAAAAGTACGGATGCATATTACCCAAATAATTGGAAGCCACATTTTAAATGTTAGGGTAAAAATGGAAACGGTACTCCCTGTATTTGTTAGAATTTTAAATTGGTACGAGAGCAATTCAGATTCATATTCTTCTAGATTTGAGTTAAAAGAACGTATTAGAAAAAGAAAACTTGGGAAAATTGCGTTGGGCATATTTTTTTCCATATCATATTTTTTTTTTCTATTTTCAAGTTTATTTACTTTTCCACGTACTGTCATCTTTTGTTCACGTGAACTGTGCTGTGTCTGCCTCAATAGCTCACTATGAATATTAGTTATCTCTTAGCAATAATCTAGAGCCAACCTTATCAATATTACGGTTGTGCCTCAATTAATTGTCTGATGTGAGGCTTTAACTCACCCACATTCAATGATGAGTTTCCAATTATATTATAAACGACTAGTTCAAAGTAGAATGACATATAAAAGATTCTAATTATGGATGACCAGTTCCATGGAGAATGACTGCAAGATTAATTGTCTAACCTTGATTTGCATGTGACATGTTTAGAATTTACTGATAGAGTCTTTCAAGTTATTCTTTATAGAATTAGTAATAATAGTTTAGACCTTTTTTACCCCCATCATGTCAATTTTAACACCGGTTTTGACGACTTTCATATTTCAGAGGTTTTGTATATTTTTGGAGGGTTTTCTAGAACTTATAAAGTTTAAGAAAATTTTAACCGTGAAGCGGCCCTGTGTTCAAGAGGGTGTTGGTGAAAATTTTCCAAGAAATGGTTCTCTCTCACTGCATACAAGAGGACAAGATTCAAATACAAGAGGACGTCAGGACAAAATGGTTTAATTCTCCATTCATGATTAGCAGTGGTTGGTTCAGATTAGGTCGCTGAGAGTACACTGTATGCTTCAACTATTTGGATGCGTCAAACCTAAAACCAAGTCCACATCAAGATCTAACCTAGACTTTAACTTTCTTTTCCTCTATCAAATCTCTATATACTCCCCCAATGACTAGATACCAAATTAAATACTACCTGATCCCATGATGTGGCCATCTCTTATTGGTAATGATTGATACCTCAAATCTCAAACTCTATAAATGGTTGGTGGGGTGCAAAGTAAAAGAAAAGATGTTTCATGACTTGGCGAGATTCATTGTACCCTATATGGGCTTTTGGCATGGAGGAAGTGAGCACCTTCCCTTGGGCCCTAGTAGATTGGATTAGAGATATATCTGGAAATTAAATTGGGAGTCCTTTAGTGTCCTCCATAGAAAATTATGAGGTAGAAAATGACATGTGTCCAAAAATCATCTTAATGGTTTTATATTGTTTGCATCAATACTGTATTTTATTTGTCCTAATTATGTACTCTGCTTGCACACTGATTTACAATTATGAGAGGATGATATGTCATGTTTTTCTTCTTGTTGAGGTTATGTCTTTGATTCTTTGTATAACTTCATGAGAGTTAGATAGGGTTAGAGATCTATCATAATTAAGAGATTGAGTCTCATCATGATTAGGAATTTGATTCCTATTCTAATTAGAAAGTTAGGCCAGAGATCGGACTTTGGCTTCCCTATATATATATTCTTCTATTGTTAGAGGAAAAACCAAGCATATGAGAGAGAGAGAGCCAATATTATTATAATCTAGGGTTATCAGAGGACGTAACTTGATTCAAGAATATTGTGCGAGAGGCGATTGTTTCATAGTTTTTGTCCGTGTAAAAGATTACATCATTAGGAGAGGGTTTCACAGTCTTTGTCCGTTCAAAAGATTGTAAGGAGAGAGCTTTGGAGATAATATGAGATTTGATTATGTATGAGGGGTTGAGAGATTGAGAGACGAGAGTTGAGTGGTTCCTCTTGTAGTTCTCCCTGATATATAGTGGATTTCTCGTATTGTTGCCCGTGGACGTAGGTCGAAGTTGGTCGACTGAACCATGTAAATCTTAGTGTTCTTTCTTCTTGATTGTGGTCATTTTCTATCTTGTTGATTGTGGGTTGGCTTTGGAATTGCGCATATTATAGTAGGTGGGGAGACTACAATCCCCAACAAGTGGTATCAGAGCGATGATGATGGATCAGGGAGTGAGTTCGCAAGATAGAAGACGACGTCGTGTAAGATTGAAGATCGGCGTTACAAGAATCAAGATGAAGAAAAAGAAAAAAAGGAAGGCCAAATGGCGGCAAGAGCGGGCGACGACAAAAGCGGTAACATAGGTGGTTTTTGGTTTGTTCGTTCGCGTGCAAGAGTCAAAAAAGTAGCAGCACGTGAGGAGATTCACACGTGTGGGAAGAAAAGAAAATTTAGCCAGTGGGGTCCACATGGAATAATTATGAGAAGCAGTTCACGTGATTTGATTGTCTAATTGCGTCTAGCTGATCTGATGTTGAGTTTTGTTTGGTGTTTGGTGTTTGGTGTTGTGGATGCACATCGGATTGTCCAGATGGTTTTGTTAATATATTGGTGAATCGGAGGTTGATTTTAGTAATCCAGGAGTTGATTCTTAAGTTTTAGAGTGCTCTAAACGCGATAGGAGGGTTTAATTTTTTAGATTTTGTTCAGATTGGTCAGAAAGTGCTAAATAGTTTTGATAGTGATGACGAGACAGATCTGATGGTAGATAGGGCAAACGAGTATGCGACAGATGAGACTGACATAGAGAATCAAATGTGATTCTAGCAGCAGAGTTTTTAGCATATAATTATTCAGAGTCATCGGGAGTAGTAGTTAGTTGGTGTGTAGACTCAAGGAGGATAGTGCTAGATTAGGTAGAGCTTGCAAGCAGACATGACTGAGTGACACACATCCTGATGGAGATGGTGGCATTGGACTTGAAGACGATGAGTGCTCATATTCGGTCCAAACTAAGTGATGGAGGAGATGGAGACATCTGGCTCGTAATGTGGAGTTGGAGAGGTGCATCGATATAGTTTGAGATGAACGATGTAGGTGGAGCACAAGGACAACAAGCAGGGGGAGGCTATTGTCAGGCTCAAGTTGGGAGGAGAAACATGATTAATTTGCTTCTGATGTTAGAGGTGGTCAAGATTTCTTGGTATACACAAGAGAGGTGGAGGTGCCGCTGCGAAGCAGATGATAGCAAGGGTCATGGAATGTCCCAGTTGGAGTGCAGGTGCTTCACTTTGAAGTGTAAAAGAATAAAAAACTCTAGCATGAGAGGCAAAGTTTCAAGACGACGACGATATATCTTCAAGGGAGTTTGAGAATCAAATCCAAGGTGGAGAATATTGTTAGGATTATGTATTTAATTCTTTGTAAATTTCATGAGAGTTAGATAGGGTTAGAGATCTATCATGATTAGGAGACTGAGTCTCATCGTGATTAGGAGTTTGAATCCTATTCTAATTAGAAAGTTAGGCTAGAGATAGGGTTTTGGTTTTCCTATATATATTCTTTTATTGTCGGAGGAAAAACTAAGCAAATGAGAGAGAGTTAATATTCTTATAATCTAGGGTTAGCAGAGGACGTAACCTGATTCAAGAATATTGTGCGAGAGGCGATTGTTTCATAGTTTTTGTCCATGTAAAAGGTTACATCATTGGGAGAAGGTTTTGCAGTCTTTGTCCATTTAAAAGATTATAAAAATAGGGCTTTAGAGATAATATGGGATTTGATTATGTATGTGAAGTTGAGAGATTGAGATATGGGAGTTGAGTGATTCCTCTTGTAGTTCTCCTTGATACATAGTGGATTTCTCGTATTGTTGCCCCTGGACGTAGGTCGAAGTTGGTCGACTGAACCACGTAAATCTCGGTGTTCTTTCTTTTTTATTATGATCATTTTCTATCTTGTTGATTGTGGGTTGACTTTGGAATTGCGCATATTATAGTAGGTGGGGAGACTACAATCCCCAACACTTCCTCTCTATTTGATTTAGATTTAAATAGCTTACAAACACAAAGATTCATTTTCTCAAAGAATATGATTCTTAATAGTTTTTAAATTCACATTTGGACTTCAATAAATCTAATGTTAGTGTAAATATGCAATTTTAATGTCTTATAAATTTTCTTTTAAGTATTATTCACTAAGAGAGAGAAACATCTAGATATTACATCACAAAATATCAAAGTAAGTTTATACTTAAATTAAAAATGAAAGGAGAATGAACAAAATAGTATTAAATGTGTGTGTGAAGATTATAGATGAAGTGTACAACAACAACAACCACCACCAGTCTTTTATCCTAAATGTTTAGGGTTAGCTACATAAATCCTTTTTTTCATTCCATTCTATTATGGGTCATCTCATCCATTAAATTAGTCTTAATC